CTTTTCTCAAGGTTGTCCTCTTGACTACTTCAGTTCAATTGCTGAAAGGCACAGAATATTCAATTACAACATCAAATTTCGATTAACACGCTTTATCTATTGTGGTACAAAGCTCTTTAACTGCTCAACAAGCAAATTAGAACAACTTGGCTCGAGAGAGAGCATGGATGAAGCATTTAAAGAAGTGGAATAGTGCTCTATGACTTGAAATCACTTATCAGTAAGCTTCTTTCGAGACCATATATGTCAATTGCAGCGTGCGTTAGTCGATTACCACTTCGTTCACACTGTGCAAAACGTTAGAACGATCAGCAGCAATTTTCTTTCATAGATTTTTCAATTAGGTTTTTTCTAAGCTCACAATCAGTTAGCTCGCGAATAGTTTGATGCATGAATAATGTGACTAAACGGCATTTGTATGTGGGCAAAATTTGCAAGTTCATTCGCACTCTCATTCCCAGTCACAAGCAAACGTCACATTTCGGCTGTTATACACCTAGATCAGAACCAACTGCGGTTGGAATCATGATGGTTCCGTTCTGATATGAGATATTGGTAGTTGTCAGTGCTGAAGTATATGCATCAGCCCATTGCTTCCTGATTTTTTCGGAATCTTATCGATATCCTCAAGTTGAATTTATATTAGTGGATACCGAATGAAGTTGATTGGAAACGAATCAAATGATGCCTTTTCGGCGGTGAANGAATCCAGTTTCCCGTTCACAGTTATCGTTGATTTGTTTGACGTTGATGCTCCTTCACTCCATTCATGTTTCTGATGTTATTTGAGCAAAAAAATATGTTGTGTTTGTATTTTTGAACGAATCACGCGATGTTTATGTTTGTGTATCGAATAGTTGGCATATTTGATGTATTTCGAAAATGTTCATTTTTTTGTAAATTTTCGTTTCCTCAGAAGTTGAAAAATGTGCACTTATAAAAATTAGCATATAACTGCTATTCACTAACGCAATCATATGCAACTTGAAAAAATTTATTAATGGAATAAGAATTTTCACAGAACTTACTGGGAACATTAAAATGACAATGTACAAGACAACTACACGTATTCTTATGTTATTCCACGAAAACAGTTCCATTTTCCTTGCTATTTTCAGTCGGTTCTCGTCATTTCATCTTCCTCTTCTAAATGCATATTCCAGGAGTATCGTACCAAATTAGAAGCGAACGGCAATTTCTCGTACTGAGGAAAACAAACCAAAATCCTGAAATTGGAATGACTGCACTGAGGCATCACTCCAAAACTGATTTAAAGCTGTCTTAGATACACTGAACACCTCAAGAGCTGCTGTTTAATCATGCTACTGTTATTATCTAATATTTGTAACCTAATGTCATGATTAGATGTAGTTGAAGGTTGGATTATTGAAGAATTAATCATTGGCACAGAAGAGCAATCAAAAAGTGGTTTTCAGTGAATTGAAGAGTAAACAGTTCCACAAATATACCAAAATGATGACACGAAACAAAAAGCATGAAAGACTAGTTCAGTGGTTCTCATGCCGGGTGAAATTACCCATATTGGGTAATTTGGAGGTGTCAAAGAGTAATGAAGGGGGTCGGGAAATTAGTATTTCCTACAATTTTATGTTAATATAATATGCCACTGTGATGGTGTTTTTTAATTCAGGTATGTAAATGCGGTTAGTTGATGGCAACACTTTTCATTCTCCTGTTTTCTGAGTATTATTAGCTCGTCCAGGCCCAACAGGGTTTTCATTTGTCCTCGCTGCTACAATCACTCTCATAGTTTTTATCACCAAAAGTGTCCTCTTTTGCTAAATTCTCATTCATTTCACTTAACAGTTAAAGT